AAGCAACTACATCCTGAATGTATTCGCTCAGAAAATATATAGATAGGTAATCATGGTCACGAAGCTCATTTGTAAATTCCAAATTTTCTTTAGTATCTGATTCATAACATTTTAAATTTAACACAATTTGGCTACTAGTGTTGCTACAATCCAAGATGCTGGTGCCATCTAAAGCAATTGCATTGGCAGTTTTATTTGACTTTACTTCATTATGAATTAATAATTTTTAAGCTATTGCATAGCTTTTATCGCGGGCTTTGAGCGCGGCGACCGAATCAAGAAAAAAAAAACGAAACAACGAAACAACGAAAAAACCTAACACCCCCCACTCCGACCGGCACAGCGGTGCGGCGTTAAACAATTATTCAATAAAAGAAAATCGAAAAATCGGAAAATCGAAAATGAAAAAAATGAAAAAAATGGAAAAAATGGAAAAAATGGAAAAAATGGAAAAAATGGAAAAAAATGGAAAAAAAATGGAAAAAAATGGAAAAAAATGAAAAAAAAATGGAAAAAAATGGAAAAAAATGGAAAAAAATGGAAAAAATGGAAAAAATGGAAAAAATGGAAAAAATGGAAAAAATGGAAAAAATGGAAAAAATGGAAAAAATGGAAAAAATGGAAAAAATGGAAAAATGGAAAATTGGAATTATGGATAAATGGATAAATGGAAAAATGGAAAAATGGAAAAATTGAAAAATGAAAAAAATCGAAAAATCGTAAAAACGAAAAATCGAAAAAGAAATTCCGTAACGAAAATAAACCTAACACCCCCCACTCCGACCGGCACAGCGGTGCGGCGTTGAAGGCCGTGCATCGTCTAACGTCGTTTCAGTTCGGCAGACTTTGGCACGGTGTTTGTGTGCATGCCACTAGACGTATGCGTGTAGACTAGCTGCTAACTGCTCTTAACTGATTCTATCTCTTTTAGACACAATTTCCGAAAAATTAAATTTGAAAATGAATAATGATCCACAAGAATCCACAACAAAATATGGGACCACCATTGGCGCGGTATTTTCCAGATATTTAGAGAATATCAAGTCTTAATAAACTTATGTTTCTTATTTCAGTTACCATAAACTTATAGTTTCATGTATTATAAGATAATAAAAATATTTTAAACAATATTTATTCAATAAAAGAAAAACAAATGTTTTCTTATCGGTCACCACGCTCAAAAAGTGTTACTTGAATTAATATCAAAGAAAAAACTTGGATTAATATCAAAGAAAAAAAAATACTGCATAAATAAAATAAATAATTATAATTGCATAAGTTGATAAAAAATGCTATGCAATAGCTTTACCGCGGCAGTCCCCGAGTGCCCACGTATTTTTTTATAACAATTTTGAAACATGTGAGATTGTTATTGAAGCATCTGTTACGAACTGCACTAAAAAAAAGTATTTTTTTTCTTCTTAATTTTTCGCCTCTTCAACTACCTCTCACAAAATTCTGTAAAATGTGATGATTACTGTATAATTTTAGAGCTTACATATAATAAAAATATCCATAATAAATACTGTACATACTTGTTAGGTATAGCATTATGTTTTAAGATGTCTACCACTTAAATTTTCATAAATATCTGCCATACAAAAATGGTCAGAACATACTAAGGCTTCTTTTATTTTCTTAATGTTTTCCTCCACCAAGCATAGATTTTGCAGCCAAATTCTACGTTGAGTAATTTCTCTAGGAAACCTGATCAGAAAATATAGAACATTATTATTTAAATAAACAATGCTAGTGCTAAATGCCTTTTCACTGTTAAATAAATTAAGCCTTATTCCCTGTATATGCCTACGTCTATGCTAACATAATCTTATTTATGAAATGACCGAATAACATTCTTATTCTGCGTATTTCGGTACACTATACATTTCCTCCCCATCGTAAAAGTCCTTAATAAAAAGTTCGGGGTTTAAATTATTCTTGAAAACTACAAAAAACCACAAAAATCACAATAAAACTTGATCTGTCACTTTGACAACATCAGCAAAATGTCTTAGGTTGACAAAGTTAAATGATTTATACCAAAATGTTTAATATTCCCATATCATACACATGTAAAAATAGCTACTTAAAAGTCTTAAGTGATTGCAATTAATAAAAAACTCATATTGATGCTTTCAATTCTTTATTTCTTTTTTTTATTAGATTGTATTAAAGGTAATAGTAACTTTTTAAATAAAAATTTAATGTTTGATATTTGATGAAAGAGATCTGACAACATAGGAAGAGCGTACCGTCAAAAAAAAGTTGCGGACAAGTGTAATGTATACAAGGCGTATCTATTAGGCATTCCAACGACCTGTCCAAATGGCTACCAGTGGGTACTGATAGTTTAGATATGGCAACCCTGTTGTCATGTTGTCATTAACAGGGTCCATGATACATATATGTTATATACATTGCTCAAAGCTGGTCGTTTGCGAGCAGCCATATTGCCTGGCAAATATTTATTAATTTGAATAAGTTTAGCAAAAATGTGTTTTAAACCAATTTTCAGACTAGATATTTAAAAAATAATACCTGCTTATATTTTTACTTCAAGGCATAAGCTTATGTTTATTTTAAAAAATAGGGATGATCAATCTATGTAACTATACATGATCGAATGTGACTATCTATTTCACTCACCTTGTCAAAACACCAGGCCTACAGAGTTGCCATAACTTTGCCACATCATAACCTGTCAAAACCCACTGGTAGTCATTCAGTTTGGAATGCCTAATTATCCGATATCTTTGTTTTAGACAAGTTCTTGTTATACTTTTAAGAACAGACAATTCCTCTATCTCGTCGCCAATGAAATATATTTGACTTACTTCAGACGTTGGGACAGACAAACGAGGAGATTACTTTTATTATTTATTTTTGTATTAACTTTACAACGAAATCAAAAATACAAGACAAGACCCCCATCGCTGACAATTGACAGCCAGACCTCCTTCGTTACCGTCTATTGCCAACCTTTAGTAGTGGCTACTGTTCGTAGATCCGGAACATAACACCTACCAAAATTTAAATTTGTAATTCCTTAATATAATTAGTAATCTTGCAAAATTATTAAACGAATTAATCAATAAAATACAATTTAAATGTTTGTTCATAAATGTATTTAACAAAAATTTGTCTTACATATAAAAAGAAAAGTTAGGCTCTCAAATTAAGATTTACAAATTAATTAAAATCATACAATTTTGGTCACGATGTAAATTCATTAATGTAAAAAAGATTTATTATAAATTTAATAGTAATTTTAGTCTTTAAAAATGTTTACATTCAAATAATTTAGCTCTTTTGAAAGTGTCCACCACGTGCTCAAATCTATATATTTCGTTGCAGTTCCGTTACGATATCAATATAGTATGTATCCATTAAGTATTACAGGTCTGTGCCTGAAATTAATAAAATATTACAAAAAATAGCCCAAATAAATCACTTATAAACTTACTTCTTAGTTTTCAATAAGTTTTTCTATAATTACAGTCACTTAACCACCCCTTCATGTTAGTTCTTCCTTTAGGTCCCCGTTTCAATTAATCTGTATTTATCCATTTATCTATTTTATTCATTATTTTCTCAAATATATAGTTAAAACAAAGTAACACTAAAAACAAATACACCATTCACATAAAAGTGACGTTTAATAATGACCTCGTTTCAGTAGTGCCCCATGGTGGTGACAGTTCGCCTATAGGCTTTTTCATCATGTGATGAGCGCAAGTGCAGCCGCCATGTTGAAATAGCGCCAATTCAAAAGTTTCGTACTGTTTTGATCAACAATGGCTGGAAAAGCAATATTATCTCTACATACAAATCAATCATTAGAAAAAATCGTTGATGATGATTTACATTTTTATAACTCTGTGGAAGCACATAATTGTGAGCAATTAAAAAGGTTCTTGAAGTGACGTGGACGTTCGTAACAAGGAAAAAAGTGTGGTGATTGAGAGGTTAGGTTTCAATACATATTAACTGTGGATCAAATTAATGAAAACAAATAATAATTATAACTCTATTCTAATTAATTATGCCAACCAACTATTAAAAATTGCAAAAACACCTTAACATGAAAGTTAATCACGAGTATAATTAATAAGATAAATTATTTAAAATTTTAAGGATCAACATGACATTTTTAATAATATTACTGTGTATACCGAAGTAGTATTTAATATTAAAAATATTGTGTAATACCAGACAAGGATTTTCTTTTGTTGAACCACTTTCTCCGTGAAAATGTAGTGAACAAATATAAGTATCTTTAGTAACATCATTGATTGCCAAAATTGATTTTTCAATTAAGACACTTATTACTTTACTCTTTTTATCCCATTTTTTAAACGAATACACTTAAAATGAATATTTATCGATTATAATTTTTTTCACGTGGGCATTTTAACATTTTTACAAAAAACAGTACGAAAAAGATGGCTAATACTGACGCATGCGCACAAAATTTTTTTTTATGAAAATGCCCATTACCCGTCGTTCCGAAAGCATTACCATAAATCCTCATCGAAATAAATTTTTTCTCTGACGAAATATAACAGCAACAGATGGAGAAAACCAGTGAAGAGCAAGAAAAGGTGGATAAAAAACAAGTAAAGAGCCAAAAAAGAGGTTATTTGAATGTTTAAAAAAAACATTTATAGATCATTCATTGGAAGCTGTACACGATGATTTCGGCGAAATCACCGAAATCGTATAAAATTAATGGGGATTCGGAGAAATCATATAGAACCATGGTCGATTTCGCCGAAATCATGTGAATTTTTGTTGATTTCTGAAATACGGTGCCTACGTTTTGACCTTAATGGTTTACCTCTGGTCAAATAAAATGTAGCCAGAAAACGCTTCGTTGAAAATAAGATGACATACATTTTACTGATTAGACCAAATACCTTTGATATGGAACTCACTTAAATTAGTTTTGCAAACTGCATATTAGCAACAATTATATATAATTTATATATTTTTTTTATCAGGCCAGTTAAATGAATGCAGCCACCGATTAGACAAACTTCAGCAAGATCTTGCGAAGTACCAGTCCTACCTGGAAGACGCTGTTCGAGGAATCCAAAGTGGTCAGAATAACTCCTTAACCAACTCTCCACGATTATTGAATGGTACGAGACGCCGCCATTCTGGTGGAAGTGCTGCTGAGGAAGAATCGCTGAGTAGATCAGCTAGTGATAGTAGTGTAAACCATAATAATCATAATAACCACAATAATCATAACCATAACAAACCAAGTGCACCTGGAACGCCGCAAATGAATAATCATGGGTAAGTATTGGATTAGGTAAATTTCGAAATATTTTGACTTTCCTATTACATTTCCCTGTGTATTTTCTGCTTCGTTCAAATAGAGTAAAATACCACAAATGCTTAGCCTGTTGTATGTATGCATATATCATTTTGCATCTTACACTCGAAAGTTATTTTGATCTAATAGCCAAAACAGGGCAGATTTACTGCTCTGATGTTACAAAAACTAATGCTTCGAAACAAGTTAGCTGGCATTTTTAACTCCTTCGATAAAAGTTTTAAATCAAAATTTTCCATGTGTTAACTGTGCGATGTGAAGATTAAGTCTTTTCCACCCTATAATCTCCTTTATTTGTATGAAAAGTGAAAAACGCACGTACATTTTTAATTTAATTAAGTTGTTTTATAACATAAAAGTTCCTGGCTCCCCTTTAATCTCCTCCACATGACAGCCACTCACACAATTTTTTTAAATATCAAAAGAGGTCGCGTGGTATTTTATTTGAAAGGGTTTAAAAATCTTAAATAAAAAATGTTAACACACTTGTAATCTAAACCTAAAGCCTTGTTCACAATGTTATCAAACGCAAATGTTCAGAGTGAGAGCGACCGCGATGTGATGCTCTGAAATATCAATCACGTCGCTCGACGTAACGCTATCGCATCGCGACACGTGCCGCTTCTACTCTGAACAAGGCTTTACCATCTTTGTACTAAAATGAGTTATTTTTATCAGGGAAACAACAAAAAATAGACTCTATTTTTGTCAGCAAGTAAATAGAACATATTGAGCAACTTCAGCATTAAATGAAGTTTTGCACTCTATAATATTTTAATTATTTTGTTTGAAATGGATTTTAATATAGTTAGATTTGTTAATTTTGATGTAAATGTAATAATATATTTATTTACATTTTAATTTTTAAGATAAATATGTCATATAAGATGTAAGTGTGATACATTTTCGAATTCAGCTTTTCAAGTTCATTCAAATAAAGTGCATTATGACCCAATTTACTAAAAATAGAGGGTGACTTGTCACGTGGAGGTTAAAGAGAGATAATTTTTTGCATGCTTTAATTACCTTACATTCAAATAACGGAATTTTTAGGAGAGGCGAGATTTATTCTTCATACTGTATAAAAATGACAGCATAGCTTATTTGAGAAATTGAAAATATTTATATTTGTAAAATAATAGCATTTTAAAATTGTTTTGCTGAAACTCTTTACTAGTATTCATGTACTAAAACATTTTAATAAACTCAATGATTCATAAATAATTATTTTAAATTGTCAGTAACATGAATTCTCACAGTATGCTTCTATTTAAAAAAATATAATTTGGTTTGCTATAGGAATCATTGATTTCATAAAAAAAACATGACTTTACTTCTTATTTTCTAATTTATTAAACCTATTTTTGAATTATCTTTATCTAAAATAATTTGAAACTCATAAGTAAATTATTTTAATATAATTTTTTATATAAATATTATTAATAAAAAAATGTACTTTTAAGACTATAGTCCATTACAAATTTTCAATTTTGATTTTTTTGATTTTTTTTGTATCTTGGGACGTAGTCCTTCTTTTTAATTTAACCTTGCCTTTCAATCTTTTGACATAGTTGTTCCAATAGTCCCGAAAGTGGCCTGGGTACTTCCCACACGTCATTGCCTGGAGCAGATTCCGATCCTGACCAGTACGATGGACATGGGGTAGAAAGCGAGTATTACGAGGCAGATATGCAGCCATCAATAGGCACTTGCAAGGCGTTGTACCCGTTTGAAGGTAAGAACATATATTTTGCCAATCACAGCTAAATTTGTAATAGCATTACATAGTGCGGAAAATATTGCAATTAATTATTAAAGATATAGTTACAAATGTTTAAAATTCTTTAAAGTATTCTCCCTAAGCATCCACACACTTTTGAAAATGATTTTTCGATGGGATCTCGTTCAAATATTTTGTCACGGCGGTTTGGATCGCTTGGCTGGGAGCGTTGTCGTGACAAAGCGGCCAGGTAGCACATGTGTATACTGTTGCTAACGATGCTGCACACCATTTTTTTCGGAATATTGAGTCTCTGTCATCATCCAAACACTGATTTGACGATTGTTATTTAAAAGTTCATGATTAAGAGTCAATTTTTTTGATAATCGATGTTCTCACCTTTCTTTGTCACATTCAAATTGAGATAGCCGGGGGGAGGAAGAAATGTGTTAACAGCGAAAGTCTGAACCTGATTACTTCAAATTTATAAATTCGGCCATCGTCCGAAGGGGCTAAATTTTTGCGTTTTTTCAAGACTATTTTAGATCTTCTGAAACACATTTAAACATATTTTTGTCCTGAAAACGCCTAAATATATATGTTTTTACCTTAAGAGCCGATTTATAAACTTGCAGTTCCGTCGCCGCCCGGCTAATATTTCTTTTTTCTTGAAAGTAAAACGATTTCCTTTGTATATATCGCTCCTTTCATTGCTCGACAGCGAACGGTCTAATGCATTAAGATATAATAAAGAGGAGATGTTATGATGATGCTAAAGTGTCCGCACCTTTGCATTACACTTTTACGTCATATGTCAAACTCGAGCTAGTCAGTTTTGGTGAGAATAAATGCCATTTTTTTAAATACCATTTTTTTTAAATACCATTTTTTTTTAAATACCATTTAAATGATATAAAATCATTTTGAATCCGTCAATCTTCAAATATAAAATTTGTGACTTCAAATAAATCAAAGTACGACTCAAGTCGCCATTTTCATTACACTTTTTCGTCACTCGAAGTGCGTCCATCTGTCATATCACAAAATAATGTGTATGCTGTCTCTACTTTATTCTATCTCGATGTGCGAGACACAGTGAGAATGCAGTGTGAAGTCTTATAAAGCGCGCCGTTGCCAGTCGTCGCTATGCTGCGATCGGCCAAAAAAACAGGTTCGGTTTTAGGCAAATTTCGACACAGGTTTAATTTTATCTCAAAATTTGTATGTTAAATAATAAACAATGAATTTCAAAATTACAAATTTATGAGTTAACAAATATTAAACAAATTTTACGCAATAGTAAGTCATCGTCTAGGTCTGAAAACTTACTCTCAAAACTGTACCCAAAATTTATTCTTCTAATGAGTTCATCAACATTGTCTTAAGGATTTTCAGCGACCCTCATTTCTTTTTCCGTTTTTTCTCTCGATATATGCAACGCAATTACGCTAATTTTGTTCAGTGACATGTTCAAATGCTTTATCTATTAATGAACGAACATCTTGTGTCTTGAAATCAAAGTTGTTCACAGCAATATAGCTCTTTACCTGATTCCATACCGTCTCGATCTAGTTAATAATAATATAATAATAATACTCTCCCTAATTCACCCCCTTACGAGTGAATTTTAACCCCTGAAACCGACTGAGCGACTTGTGTAGGGGAAGGGACGGCTATTATTATTTACCGTGGCGCCCCGGGGCGAGTTAAAGTTGATTGATGGCGCCACTTGACTTACAGGTGAGGATAACCCGAAAAACCTCACCCACCATCATAAGCTCGCAATGATATGGTGGTAAGCGTAAAACAGTTACCCCGTATTTTTCAACTATTTCCTCGAATCTTATATTTGTCGTATTGCTCTCTGTATGGGTTGGCAACTTTAAGCAGCTCAGATTTTAAATAGTTATCGTCAAAGAAAATGTTTTTTTCAACCAGCCAATTTTTTATTTCGGGTTTGTTTCATGAGGTAGCTGGAAAAGTAAATTTACAGGAATGATACGAAGAGTTATCCATAACAACAACGTTCTTTCGTCCATTTTTGGACTATGTTAGGAATCGGCGACTCCTCAGTCCATTGCTCAAAATAGTCTACGTTTGTTTTTCTATACCAAGAAAACACGCGTGGCGCCAGGTAAAAACATTATACTTTCACAACCACACTTCACATATTTAAAACCAATATATTTCATCAATCTACATAGGATCCTTAAAGAGAACGATGGTGAATTATCATTCCCTCGAATAATGTAAATTGCATTCAAAGTTGGCAGAATGTTTCTTTTTTAACATTGTGCACATTCCTTTCAATAAGCTCTTAAAACACTCAACATTATGTATATTCGCAAGAATTTGACTGTCTTAACCGCTTTTTTCTTCTTGCAGGAGATTTAAATTCCCTCGAATAATGTAAATTGTATTCAAATTTGGCAGAATGTTTCTTTTTAACATTGTGCAAATTCCTTTCAATACGCTCTTAAAACCCTCAACATTATGTATATTCGCAAGAATTTGACTGTCTTAACAGCTTTTTTCTTCTTGCAGGAGATTTAAATTTGCTATTGTTTTGTTCCTCCTTTTTCTTGATGGTATAAATCCATTTTTCTATTTATTATCTTAATACATGATTTACCTGACCAAAGCTTGGGCTTTCCTTCTCCTATCCAATAGCTTTTGTCATATTGTATCACAAAAATATTAATTTTCCTATTTTTATTACTTTACACTCACTCTCACAGAGAACCATATAACCAACTCTCTTCTCTATTATACAGAAAGCAACTAAGCTGCTTGGATTGCTTCTGCAGGCAGGTTACTATTAAGCAATTTAGTCGGTTGGTTCATTGGCTAACAAATAACACTAGGTACCAGAATGTGGCCTGGATATTTTTTTACAGTAAATGCTACGGTTCTTAATAGCTTTGTTCGCGGAGTCGATCCCGAACGTATTCTAAACGGTAAGGTAGACCATACACGCCTGCGTAAACACAAATTCAGTTATAATGTGCAGTGTAATTTTTACCTTAGCGTTCGGAATCAGTACAGGATTGTTACCGCGAACGAAGCTATAATGTGAGAGTCTAAAAATCACAAATTTGAGGGTTGATTCCTTTCTGCAGAAAGCCGTCCAATTAGACATCAAGAAGGTCAAACAGTCCTCGTCTATCCAACAAAGAATACATGCTCTAATAACATTGACTACTACTGGGCCGACCCTATCGGAGCTATCGGAAAGATGGCAACACAGTGTGCCGGTCTCGCATTAGAAATACTTTGCCTATGTCTGGCCATACTGCATTCTCAGTGTGTCCCGAACTATAGAGTGGTATCGAGTATGACAATCGAGTATATTATCGAATTTGGTTGAATGAAAATGGACTTTGAAATCAAATTCGAGTCAAATCTTGGAACAAAATACCTGTCCATTAAATTCTGACAATAAAATTTCCCAATGTTCTTTATTTTTAGGTCTCTCATATAATATGACATTTCACTTTTTCAATTCATGTTAAGTTAGAGAATATAGTGCATCTTCAAAAACGTGACTGAAGGAATTTTAAATAATAATGTTGCGAGCGGTGGGTGGCTCAGTGATAGAGTCTCTGCCTGCTTATCCAACGGTCCCAGGTTCGAATCCCACCGTTGGCCGAGATTTTTTCATTTATTTTAATTATTTAAAATTAATTCTGATGCCTTGGTACGATTCCCCATTCGACCATTCACTGTTGGGTTTTAATTAACAGTGCTGTTCCTAAAGTGGCGCTGGGAAACAGTAACAAAGCCTACACAGAACACGAGGCGAAATAACCATAGCAGTTGAAGCCGATGATACACAAATAAAAAATAATAATAATAATGTTGCATTATTAACTATTTTACAGCTACAAGTGAAGGGAGCATTCCAATGGCTCAAGACGAGGAGCTCCATCTTATAGAACTAGACCAAGGGGATGGATGGACTAGAGTGAGAAGGATTTTAGGTGATATGGAAGAAGGTTTTGTGCCAACCTCGTATATCGAGTATTCATTGTATAATACTTAAAAAAAAGCATTGACTTAAAAGTGTCGAGAGCATCAATTTTTTCAAATGAGTATATTTTTGTAAATTATTTATGCAATATTTAAATGAAAATAGAGTTGCCCGGGTTTCCACGAGAATTTTAGTATAAAAACAGAAAATATAATTTTTTTCGTTTTAAGAAAAGACTTGCTAGTTTTCAATTATTTTGTTCGATATTGTGATAAAAGTTCACATTATAACATTGTTGGTAGGTATAAAAATGTCAATTTAATTGGTAATAGATATAAAATTGCACTAACACTAAGAGTTTGATTAGTGGTTTAAAAAATAAATGCTTATTTTTTTTATTTGTAAATTACCAGTAATGTAACAAAAATTGGTTGACAGTTGATAATTTATCTATTTAAATAAGTGAATTTATTTAATATTGAACCAAAATTGTTTATTTATTTGTAAAAAACCATTAATTAGAATTTTTGTTTCGTTTTTAAACTAAAATCTCTGAAACCCATATTCGTTGCAATATTTTTTTCTGTTTTAATGTACATTTATATATTTTTATAACTTAGTAGGTAATTAAAAAATATATTTACTTTTATTTTTTACTAAATATCTATGTTAATGCATTTTTAATTTTCGAACAAAATGAAACCTAGAACAAAGTATTTCTTAGTCATATTCTTATAATGTGTTGCTTAATGCGGTAAAAAGTCTTATAAGGGGTGAACTCAAAAAGTAGATCTGGCATTATTTCATACTATTGAATCATTAAAACTGCAGAGTTGTTGAAAACTCACTTTACCCTAAATGAGACTGGTAGGAATAGCCGAAACTATAATACATATATTACAACATTCATTAACTAAAGATCCATGGCTTCATTCACGTTGTATTAAAAAAATTGTATTTGACGAAAATCCAAATATTTTAATGTATTGGTTTTTCTAAAAATAATAGTATTTAGCAAATGGTCTTTGTATATGTAAATTTCCAAAAGGAGTCTCGCCTATTTGCCTCTAGTCCTATTTATCGCTGTCATCATTTTCATTACATGGTATAGACATAAATGCCTGTTCCAGCGACAAAGTGACAATTTTTCCGAAAATAACGACAGATCACGTAAATCGTCAACTTTCAGCTTAGATTTCAAACCTTTAAGTCTTACTTTGGATTATGATCGTAGTTAGTATTGATCATCAACTATTTCCTGTGATATAAAAAGTTAAGGTTTTGCTTTTTTTATTATTAGATGAAAGTTCTTTGCATTTTGTATAGTAGGTGATTTTCCATGCCACTTTTTATAAATCAGGACCTAAAATCAAGCCAGATTTACAACAATAGTTCTTTTTTTGCAGGGTTTCAGCTAACAATCTCCACTTGCAGGTTTTCAAATGTCAACCATCACACTCTACCCATATCCACATTGCATGCCTCAACCTCAATAATTTCCATTAACTTTTGTTCACAAACCAATGGCCCATTTTACCATAACAATTATCTAAAAATCTGAAAATGTAATTAAAAGCAATGTACTGTAAATTTTTTTCAAGGACGCACATTATACTACTAATTAGGAACAATGAAAATAGCCCTCAAAGTTACAATGTTACATTCATAATACTTAAACAAATTAAGCCATAGTAAAAAAGATTAATCGATTTAAAAGTAATATCTGATCTATTTCTTTTTTATATAAAATCATTAAAACATTTTTTGTTGAACTTTTTTTCTGTATGCAGTTGATGCAAATATTTTCTTTGATTTCATTTGGTGTTTGCTTTACTTCTTCCTTCTTTTTCTGTCCTAGCTAACTTCCTTTTATTCTTTAGTGCTGATAAATGTTGTAAAATATAAATTTCCAAATAAATTCGTTTATTACTTGATTTCCTTAAACTCTGTAGTTCCAAATCATTACAAAACTTCAAATATTAAAAAAAGTACCTAACAAGTTTCAATAATCATTTATAAATAATATAATAAATTCGCCTGGGGCCCTTGAATACATATTCGAACCATATATTATCATTACTTAGCTCTTATTAAAGCTTTTAAACAAAATCACAATTTTTTAAATAAATACCGTTTACTTCCTCTCATTAGATAAATTTCTCAAATTATGGAAAATTAATTAAAAAGAATGTAAATATATTCTTGCAACTATTCAAAACTATTTGCCCCTTGCGCTTATATATTGCATTTTTCACTGGACCTTACAAAAACTTCTATGGTCGTATATCTTATTTTATTGCATAAGCATTTTTTTGTATCTTTACTAACCATTTTCCATCCTTAGTCTACTTATCATCCTAAATAATTGCGATTCTAGTTATAGTCCTAGAGTCAACGTGCAGGTTTGTGACTTATTTTCTTATAGCTGAATTTATTATTAAATTGTTCTATAAGTGTCCAACAAATTCATGAAAGCTCGATGTTCAGACTGGGGCACTTAGGTAGCTATAAGCTTTACAAGTGGTACGTGTCTCTCAAAAACCTGACTTAATTTCTTTACAATTTCGTTATGCTCATTCGACGATAAGTGCCCACCTACAAGAAATATTAAACTCTCCACCAATTTAGATGGGCTATTTTTTCTCCAACGTTTTAAAGTAGTGCGTGAGAAGGCTTGCGCGCGACTTATTTTCTTATGGCTGGTTTTTGGTTTATTTTCAAGTTTTTGTTGTTTTTCACAAAATCCATTTCATTCACCATTTTCGCTGCTCGTTCGACGATAAGTGTTCACCTACAAGAAATATTATAAGAGGGCATGCACGTGACTTATTTTCGGTTTATTATCAAGTTTTTGTTATGTGTTTCATAAAATTAACCTCCTCCACTAATTTCGCTCGGCTATTTTTTCACTCCAACGTTTTAAAGTAGTGCCTGAGTGGGCATGCACCTCACTTATTTTCTTAAGGCTGATTTTTTGGTTTATATTCAAGTTTTTGTTATGTTTCACAAAATTTACCTCCACCAATTTCGCGGGGCCTTTTTTTCTCTCCAACGTTTTATTGTTTTAATGTGAATCGTAACGCGTGACTTATTTTCCAAACTGGATGCTTTTACCAAAGTGAGATAAACATTATAGCTTTTCACTGAATTAGTGTCCATTAATAATATTGGTCCTATTTTAGTATCCTACAAAAATAAAGAAGTGAAATAAATAAATAAATAATGGATATATATAAACTCAATAACTTGATAAAGTATTTTTGAGATTTTGAGGTCGCTGAGAACGAATTCGCTCACAGAATTTGCTAGCCATTTGTAAGGTCTAAATTGTATTGCTTAATATCATAAAAAACAATGTTAATAATATATTTTTATTGAATCATTTCATAAAAGAGTTAAACCAATATTTTAATACAAGGTGGCCAAATTTGTCATTTTGAACCAGCACATTGAATATATTACATAATGATGAAAATTTAAAAATCGGTAAATATTAAAATTCGTTTTCAGCGATCTTAAAAACTCCTAATTGAATATTTGCATCCATTTTGGCAAAAACTTTGTCAAGTTATTGCGTTTTTATGTTTAAAACCATTCATATTTTTTTAAATTCATTATTTTCGTTGGACATTAGAAGCGGCCCAATATTTTTAATGTACACTAATTCAGTGAAAAGGTATCTTTTTTTTATCTTGCTTTAAACGTTGTAGAGAAAAAATGGCCCAGCGAAAATGGCGGAGAAAGTGAATTTTGTGAAAACAACAAAACTTGAAAATAAACCAAAAATCAGCCATAAGAAAATAAGTTACGCGCATGCCTTCTCATGCACTACTTTAAAACGTTGGAGAGAAAAAATAATCCATGAATTTTGATATAGTTTCTGTATTGTTTTTATGTATTCATCCAATTGTCCTCTTCGTATTTTTATTTCGGCAGGGTTTATATTTAAAGCAGGTGTTTATTCAGGAACTTAATAAATAAATTAGACTGATCATTCAAATGAAATAATTGACACCATTATATTCGGCAAGTTTATGAACCCCTTTACATTTAAGGAAACACTCAAGCTTGAAATTAAAATAATTAGTAGACTTTAAAATATGTTAGTGTTTTTTCAGCCATCCTGTAAAATTAATTTTATTCAGTACTATCCACATTATTTTTGTAAAAATGTTATAAAATATTTACCTTTTACTTATCAGTCACATATTTTATCAAAAAAGACTTATTACTACTATTGCTTTTTCTACATTTTGACCTTACCCTATATGTTATTAATGAGCAAATGCGGCTTAGCACAATTATTTAGCTGTTGTTTAGTGTTGCAAGTTATACAGTGGACCTTAAAAATTTAAAATGTTTTCTGAATTTCCTTGTTTATCAGTTTTTACAATTCAACATTTTAAATCTATTAATAATCATGGAGGATTTTAAGATTATATTTTAAATTTTAATGGGCCCCATACACATTATATAGCAGTTACTTTGTATATAGAATGCATATATTATACTATTATTAATTATTATTGAGCTGTAATGTAAAGTATATATATATAAATATAAATGTATAGTAATTGTGTTTGCTAAAAAAAATCAAACAAAAATATTTGATACACAATTTTTAATGAATTTGTGTTTATTGCACCCTTAGGTCACCCGAATAAGTAAAATGATTTCTTTGAAAGATTTAATTTATTTTTTATTTTACAAAGTGTAACTGTTTTGATTTTTACTTAAAACTTTGTTTTTTTCTTCGATATTTGAATTTGTTATGTAGGGTGTTCTAGTGGAAATTGTATTACTTTTTCAACGTTGTCAGATAAGCTTATAAAAGTGAGTTTTGACTGCACCCAAAGAGGCCACAATACTTAAAAAAATGATTTTGTGTATGATTCCACTTTCTGGAATTTTATAGTTTCTTTAAGTTTAAATCTAAAAGAATAAAGCAAATTTGGAAGTTCAGTTTTTACATTCAGTTTGAGCCTTGTCATATTGATATACAGAACCGTTTTTCAAATATTTAGTAACCATCTGATATCCTGGATTTTCGTTATTTGGTTTCATCATTAGTTGAATATTACTTAATCAAAGGACTAAACAACGCATCGGAATTTTTAATCCTATTTACGTAGAAACAATCAATAATGGTATATATTTTTTATTCATTCATCCATTTAATTTTATTAGAAAATTAGAAGAAAATTGGGATAAAAAAACCATTATTCATGAATATTCACGCACAAAAGTATCCTATAGAATAACTACATAATGTTACAACGCTGCCAAATATTATATCCAGAAGGCGAATATTTTTAAATAAATTTTTGTGTTCTTCTCTTACTGCTTAGTTTCAGTGATTTGTAGTTTTCTCGTCTTCTTTGACTTTTGTGGACGTTTTTACTGAATTACAAATCCATTATTTATGTTCAACTCTTACAAAAGATTCAAAAACAAAAATATAAACAATATTGTATGGATTAATTTCAGTTTCAAACTGACACATATCGCACATCACCTTCAAAGGTGTATTCATTCAATATATTAAAATTTTACAGGGAACACAAAAGAAATTTACCGAATTTTATTTTTTTAACCTAAAAAGCTCCAGATAAATATTACAAGTGTTGGGTTTGGTAATTTCGAAATTTTGGACAAAAGACGAGAAACACTGGTAACTTTTTGAAAATAAGTGTTCAAATTTTGTTTTTTTATTCGAGTTAATACACTTTTTTGGGGAAATAATTTGAATATTTTTCGAGCACCTTGGACAATAAAACTAATTTTTTATTGAAAAATATTAAGTAAGTGAAACAACGTATAAACATAAACCAAGAGTGAATGAACACATAATATCAATTGATCAACAGGTCTGAATCAGAATAACTAAAATTATATTCTCTCTTACTTAAAAACTAAAACTTCAATCTCACTAGTGAATGAAATGAGACTATTTAAAAGAGGATAACTAAGTATACTTCACTTTATTTTACCTGAAAACGATGAAAAAAAAAAAAAAGAAGGATAAACTAGCAAACTTTACTGTTTTTAATTAAAAGTAACAACAATAGTTTAAATTTGGCTTATTGACATAAATAAAAACTTAAAAACTTAGGTTCACATTAACTAGTTTAATGACATTTTCTAAAATAACAACTCATAAAAATGTTGATAATTGGATTTTTTTTTTGGCAGAAACTTAAGATCTTTTTTTGTTTTGTTTTCATTGGTAGATAATTTCGTTTTATGAGCATTGTTTAGTATTGGCTCTTACGTTTGATTTGTTTATCGTTAACGGTTTTCCAGTTATTGCCTCCATCATCTGAGTGGATGTTTTATAAAAATACAAAAATGGTTTGTGTTTTTCCACTTTTATCATTTTAATTTTGCGTAATAGAACAGACTCTCCATTACTGTTGGTAGTAAAATTAGAATCAATATCTGCAGTTAGTTGTTTAACGTCTATAAAATCCTTATGCGTTAACTCGCGGACCAAATATGGAGCTTCTTTTTTTTTGGTAACTCTTATCAGTGTAATAAACTGATCAGACACATAAAAAGTACCAGGCATTAGTGCTTTAGATACCAGAAAAATCAACTTTTTTTTCAGATTCCAGAAAAATAAAACTAATTTTGTATAACCATAAAACACATTTTCAACAAACCTCTTTTTCAATTATTAAATGTGCGGCATCAGCTTCGTTTTTGGTATGTCCAACAATAAAGTATTGTGAGTAATTTTCTTAATTTTTAGTTTTTGAACCGCCTACAATAAAATAGCAACCATGTACCTAAATTCATTGATAGGTTATTTAACATACAATTACTGTAAAAGTAAGTAAGAAGTAGAATATTGTAAAAGAATAATATACCCATACATTGTTGTGCTCCGCAATTATCGCTATACATTTACACCTCCTCCTTCGTGCCAAATATAAAAATTATTAGGCGCATCATTGCCCAATTCTGTAACTGTTAAATTCATCATATTCAGTTTTTATTTATAGTAAAAAAATTAAAATATATAGCATAAACAGCATTGGTCTTTTTTTGGAGCAGAAAAGGTTGAATTCCTGGATAAATATCACGTTTATAATCTCGATGTAAGTTAGCAATTTGCCACCATCAATAAATTCCTTGGTTGTTTGTGTTTTAGGGTAATGACTCTCGACCCTTGGAATACTATTTATATGATTTCTAACATTTTTTATTTCATCGATTATTCTTAAATGTTTGTTGTACTTACTACACCCATCTTCAGAGACTATTCCACAATAATTAGTTTTGTCTTTTAAATAACTTTTTACCCACCCTTTTTTCTAACCATCTGACAAATAAAAGGAGAATATATATTTTGATCTTCTCTCCATTGCTTTCTGAGATAACGAAATCTTGGGATAAATATTTTATGTTTTTAGACAAAAAATCACGCTTTCTATTTATATTGCTGATGCTATAATATTCATTAAATATTAGCAACCTTTCTTGATGAGTAAATTGTACAGTGCATTACAAAGCTCTTTAAGTGTCTGCTGAAACAACTTTTTTAGATTTTGAGCTGGATATGTATCACCATTAAATCGTAATTTTTTTATTTTATTTTTTTTGCCATGCTGTTTCATCTCGCGGTCTTTTTCTAGTATTTTCTTCTGAACTTCAATTTGTTTGTGTTCTTGACCTTCATGGTCTTTCTTAACTAAGTTATTTTCACCAACCAGTTCTTGATCAGAGGAAGATGAAGACGAATTGCTGCTAGAACTTGATAAAGAGCTTGAAGCGTTGACAAGCTATCAAAATTTGAGTCCTTAACGCTATCGTCATTGTCCTCGCTAAAATAAGAGTCAAATGTTATTCTATATTGTACGGATTGTATTTTCATTTATTGGTAATTGTTGTTGATCATTGTCATCGTTTGTAGCTGGTTCTATAGAACTCTCCTTAGGTCTGGAACAAATTGTAAAATTTTGATCATCAAATAATAGTGTATATTTATTGTAAATTGTTGATTGCTGTATGATTTTTCACCGTGTGTTAAGATTTGTAGTTTGTTCTGGTTCAGAGCAAGATGTATTTTTATTTATTGGTAATCGTTGATAGTTGTTATCATCGCTTGTAGCTGGTTCTGGGGTACTCTTCTTAGCTTTGGTGCAAATTGTAAAATTTTGATCATTGGCACTGTGCATGTTAAGATGTGTACATTGTTCTGGTTACTCTGGTTCAGAGCAAGGTGTAAAAACATTCTGATTTAAAGCAATCGACACAATACGCTTACTACTTCTTGATGACATCTAAAAATATTTAATTTTGATAACAAAAATTTCAATCAACAAAAATTATATTTTTTAACTTAACAGTTCCAGTTATTTTTCAAATAATTTCCGGGGAAAAGAGTACCAAATAAAAATATTGATATGTTCCCAGAGAAAAGAATATTAAATAAAAATAATACTACTGAAACTAAAAATATCCCAGAAAAACTGTGTTTGAAATGTGTTTTAAATTGAATACCTAGATTATAAAAAGTATTTAAAGCAAAAACGTATTAACTCAAAATAATACCCGTTTCTTATAAAATGTTGCTTTGTCTCATTCCTTCCTTTGAAACAATACAGTTTTGAATAAAAAAAACCAAATAAATATCAGTTAGTTTAAGAACGTTTTGAATTAATACCTTTTTCTTCGGAACTGCACATAGGAGCAAACTACAATGAGACTGTTTTCGTTGGGCGACTCCTGTCTGGTTATAAATACGAATACCTAAAGACGGCCGTGATACGACAAAGCGAGTAATGCCATCTAGTGGATTTGTCTTAAAATTAAAAAAATACCGTTTTTCTAGGGGAAAGAATACATGTATAGGTTTCTATTTTTGAAATAATTACAAAAATTTAAAATTTTGATTTAATCCACTTTTGAATGAGATGTGCGATATATGAAGTTTATCTCCCTTTGTTTTTTAGGGAATATAATGATACTGCAAATATTTTAAATGCGCGGGGTACCGCCTAAATGCAATTAAGGGGTTATCTAATCACCTATCCAAATAAAAAATAGTGGATTGGAATTTTCATTATATGTAGCTTATTTTAAATTCAGATCGACAACTACAAAAATTTTAAAATATATTATTAGTAAATTTTAATCGACACTACTCTTTTTATTTAGTTACCATACCACTTCAAGCATTAATAGGAAAATGAAAGTAGACATTTGGTAACAAAATTTAAATTATCTTGATTTATTGGTACATGCTTAGAGGACATTAAATTTTTAACTTAATAATTTTTTTGGCCTCCAGTGATATCTGAATGGCAAAATTTGTCTAATGTAATTTGTAACTGGAAAAAAATCTTAAGGACTAATAAAAAATGTGACTGTTAATAATCAGTTACTATAAAAATGCAGGTTTCTTTTTAAATCGTTGAATGTAGTGTGTATCTATGTATTTGTGTAAACCAATTTTATGTCATTTTTTTATTATAGATATAAACGGGGGGCTTTGTGACACCAAATACATTTTTTCTAATTTATATGCTTATTCGTTTGCTCATGATTCCTTGTAAAAATATGATGCCGGCAGTGATAAAGTGGTCTTATAAAAATTAAAAAAGTTTTGTTACCAATTTGAGTAGGTATTTAGGAACCTGTTGTGTATAACTGATAATATTAAGGTATATTAAATAAAAAATCACTAATTTGAGGAACTCTTTATTCGTTCAAGTCTCGACACAAACTGATAAAAATAAACCCAATAATTAACGTTTAATATTAATAATACCTAATTTTTTTCGGTAATTTAATAAGAACCACAAAATGAAAAACCAAGATATTACCTTTTCTAAATATTAGCGAACGTTCACATATTCAATAGGCAACTTTTATCCTACTTAACCTAATATCTATATTAAAATATTACATTATCTTTAAATGCTTAGTTTGTTGCTACAATCTTTTCTCGGTCATACACTTTTATCCTATTAAAATTATCTGTTGAATTTCTTATATAATAATCGTATTAAAATTAACAATTTATTTACATTTTTTAATCAACTGCAGTTTTATTATAAAATAAACTACCAGTAAATACATTTTTCACTTTATTACAAGGCTTGGGCATCATAAATAAAACAAACACGAAACTGACCAATTTTTAATCAAATTTGTTGTACATCCCGTTAAGAACTCACTTTTTTAACACAATGGTGCTGCTTTTCTTTTTAGATTCTAAAAAATTGTTTATGCACCAATTACGAATACAGAGTGAGAAAAATAACCTGGCTAGCAACTACATTTGTCGACATTTTAAATAAATTTAGATCTATGACGTCTTGCTCAGCTTAGTTTGTCGTTTGAATGAATATATATTGGTTTTTGAGGACTCCGTATGTAGTTTCTATTGAAAATAGCAATAACTAAATGATATTAGTGGTTAAGATAGATTTTTGCACAATATAAAAATATGTCGATCCATATACACTTATGCCATCAATTTATTGTATTGTCAACATCAAGCCTTATATATGTCATATTTCACGTGCTAATATTAGCAATGAAATGTCGCTAATCATCATTGATTATAAATAAAAAAAAAAAAATGACAGTATGACTGTTAAAAAATTCTATTTTTGTAAAATCCATTTTTAAAAAATCTCCATTTTAAATTTAACTGTTTTTGACATATCGCTCATTTTCATATCATTAACCCATTTAGCTCATATTGTGATCGTTTCATCTATAATTACATATTTAATAGGGAGTATCCTTAAATGCCAAGCTTAAACGTATTTTCTGGAACGTATGTCGATAATTTGTATGCTGATATTATTGAATGTATCTGACTGATATTGTAAAATAAATTAGCATTGAATGTAAATTAGTTTTATTTTAGAATTTTCCAGAAACAAGTTTTCATCAACTGTTGTGCATTACACCTTGATCACGCCACTTTAGAAATTTCAACAAATATAAAATCTTTGTCGTCGCCTAGAAAGCTGAAATTTGGAACAGATTTATTTCATACCTTACTAGCGAGCCGCCCCAGCTTCACACGGTGATATCTTTAAAATAAAGTATTCATTTGAATGATGTAGTGTAAAAGACAATTTTAATCTATATTAAATGCACAAGGTTAATGACATTATTCTGAATAAGGATTAATAATGAATTGAAGAAAATAGCTTCGCAAATAACCTATCGTTTTTACTAATCGGTAATAAATAAAAATAATTGTGAGTAAAGACACATGCTATCGTGAATTTTTATTTTTTCGACACCGTCACAGTTCAGCCATTTTGTACAAAATATTTACAAATTATACACACAAACCTTTTTCGTTTATCGCTTTTTTTATTAGTGAAAACCATATTAAAATCTGTTGCGTGATTTAAAAGAAGTTAGCGGAGAAACTATCGAGAAAGAATGAAGTAGAGACGACATAAACACTATTTTGCGATAAGACAGATGGTTGCACTTCGAGTGACGGAAAAGTGTAATCAAAATGGCGACTTATAGCCGTAATTTAATTTATTTGAAGTCAATAATTTTATATTTAAAAATTTGACGGAATGAAAACATTTTTCTAATTTTGACATATAAATTAAAGCAACATCTTTTGTAATCGCAGCAAGTGTCAAAACGGTCTACTTTACGCAACCAGTTCCATAAAGTTGAACATTATAAAATTGATTACACGAAAAATTGATTGTCACCAGTTGCGAAAAGAAAACAAAAAACCTTTTTTGGTTTTAAAATTAATATAATATACATTAATATTGAAAGTTTATATCAAAGGACACGTTGGCTACATATAAATAGAATTTGGTTAGTGAACTTATAACCTAGTAATAATGTTTGGTCCTTATTTTCCATTCTAAATCTGCACAAAATAAAACACAATACACGACAAAATAACCCACCTTTCTGAAAACTGAATAACTTTAACAAGTAATATGTGGGCCACCGGTAACGCCTCGATCTTTAGAGTCAAAACTATATGATTTTTTTAAATATGTTTTCGTAACAAGATGTATATCAGAAAAGGCAACAATTTAAAAATATGTAATTGTTTCCGGGCTGTTATGCCTTGGTCTTTCTTGGTTATTACTATCAAACGTTTCAGTTGTAACTGCGGCAGCCATCTTCAGTGGCATAGACGAAGTACTCTTCTTGACGTACCAACAGTGTTGTATTTATATGCGTGTCTGTGCGCTCTTTTTTGACGGTACTGTTATTAGGTAGTTTTATTTTCGCGTTTTTTAATGATGTTTGCTAAGTCCTAGGTAATGTTGTTTTTTCTTCCTATCTATTGAAGTTCTTTTCATGTTTTGTAAATTTCTATAGCCTCAAAGTACAATCTGGTCGAGTAATGTCTTGATGTTGCTAGTAGGTCGGTGTTTTCGAAAAGGATCTTGTGTTCTCCATCGCATAATCTGTGTTTAGCGACTGCATATTTTTCGGTTTGCTAAACGACAGCTTCGTTTGTGTTCTGTTAGTCGTGTACGCAATGCTTCTCTTTATCATATGTATACTTCTCCAGAAGTGCATGGAATTCTGTAGACTCCTGCTGATGTGAGGGGGTCTCTCTGTGGTCTTTCGCTATTTTATGATATTCCCCCAGTTTCTTTGTTGGCTTATAGACAGTGCCGATTTTCGGTCAATGACACCTTCGTACGATCGCTATACAGTTCCTTGATTTTGTTCTGCACTAGACTTGGTCTTATTCTCCTTTGAGCGCGTAGATCGGATTGTCTTTTTTTGCTCTATCCATTTGCTTGTAACACACTGTTGTCAAGTGAAGGAAGGAGGATTCAGTTTCAGTTGATACGTCGAGAAGAGTACTTTGTCCTCGCCACTGAAGATGGCTGCCGCAGTTACAACTGAAACGTTTGGTAGTAATAACCAAAAAAGACCACAGCATAACAGCCTGGAAACAAACGATTACCTTGATGCCGGCAGTGAAAACCTACATTCTTACATTAAGAGCATTCTTACTTTTTTGACAGTTGAGGATCTGGTTACTTTCAAGAACATCGCTTTGTCAAATGCTGTAATTAACTGGTGTATTAGGGCCGCCTATTAGAGGGTATTTCTATTTCTCTGTTTTCAGTGGCAGACGTATTTAAACATTCTTCAGCTAGGTATGCTGTTTTTAAAATTTTCGGTACGACTTACCCATTTAGTATACCCACAAAAATTATGTTATTGAATTTAAACGCAAGTTAAGTTCACTCTAAATTATTTTTAAATCTTCATATTTTATTACGAAAAATTTTTCTCATTTTTTTTTGTAAATAACCTTCGATGGCCCCAGGCCGCAGAGGTTAGATAAATTAGTTGTTTTTTAAATGAGCCAGCTACTATTTGAGAATATCGAAAAATTTTACGATATATGCTGAGTTTAGATTCCCCGGTAATAGGGATTAGACGGACGGTTGCATGATTTCGTTTGAGTTTTTTATTTTTTACTATTTTTAAAGTTGATTTTCATTATACTGTTCTTTTGATGTAATGAATTTTATATCTATTGTCCTTTCGATAAAATATATATTCAATCAAATGTTTTTCGATCAGTTTTTTTGCCACCACAATTTGATACCGCACGATAAATAGGTAGGTACTTTGATTCATCCATATTAGAGCCAATTTCATAATCGATCCCTAAAGGCAGATTTAAAGAAAGGAAGCTTCTATTTAAAGTTCATGTTCAATATCTATTTAAATCAGTGCTAAAAAACTATTTCTTTTAAGCCGGGTAAACGTGAGTTAACGTGGCAACCGCGCGTTGCGAACTGCGATCATGTGCCCGAGGAAGGGGCAACGAGAAGATTGCGGCCATAGATAAATGAACATAAAACATAATAATTTATCTATGATTGCGGCATTAGATTCAGATCATTAGACAAATTGAACTTTTGTTTTTACCACTGTTTTGCCTCTTAATATTGTAACGCCGATTGTGACGGCTTTTTTCATTTATTAATCTTGCTATTTTTCTTTAAAAATAAAACAATAATTTCAAAGAGTGATGTGTATTCTTTCAGTTCACTTTAAAGCTTTCTTTAAAAAATTACCTCCACATGAATCACAAAATATGTGGAGGTAACGAACTGTACCATCAAACTGAACAAAGATAAAATTATGAAGAAATTATACCTCATTTGAGCCTTTGCTTCCTATGGTTTCGGGATAAGAGTAAAATATAGCACTTTCTGTTGACAATACATGCATATTAAATGAATTTAAAGTCAATTGTCTTTCATAATAGACTTCGTTAGTCAAAATATTATGAATGGGCAGATTTTTTAGAAAATCCATAGCAATAGCTTCAATTTTAACACTCCTCATGGCCATTTTCCAAGCTTTCCTTTTTCTCTGATAGAAAACCTCAGCTTTATTTAGCTTTGTGTATTTTGTTTTGCAAATTAATTTTTTTAATTTGGTCTTTAATCTTCTTTAAGTCATTTCCTACATTCAGTTTCTTCTGCAGTACCTTCAGCTCAGCTGTGAAGTTGTCGCAGGTACACTGCAGGTGTCAGAACGGGGATAACCGAAACTAATGTTTATTAAAAATTTTAAGTTATGTTTCTCGTCCGAAACAGAAGGATTTATGGTTTTATAAATATCAAATATCAAGAAAATGTACGATATTTATAAAACCATAAATCCTTCTCCTGTTTCGGACGAGAAACATAACTTAAAATTTTTAATAAACATTAGTTTCGGTTATCCCCGTTCTGACACCTGCAGTGTACCTGCGACAACTTCACAGCTGAGCTGAAGGTACTGCAGAAGAAACTGAATGTAGGAAATGACTTAAAGAAGATTAAAGACCAAATTAAAAAAATTAATTAAGTCTTCTTGAAGGTCGACTTTTTTTAGTTTTTTCTACTGTGGTGGCTTTCTTTTCCTTTAAAACTCCTTATATGTTCAAGAGTTTATTTAGCCTCTCCTTCGATAATGAATGTATCTTTTTATTTTTGCCGCACTCCCTAATAATTTTAAACTTTTTTTAAATATTTTCAAGTCTCTTTCGAACGATCCCATGAAAGCTTAGGAACGCTTTGAAGCAAACCGGAATGTCGGCAAATCCGTTATCAGTCAGTATTCTAACTGTAAAAGAGTATGAAGAATCGTGCAATTTAGTTGTGGCTTCATTCCTAGCTTTTCTTCGTTTCACGGTCATTCCGGTAATTGGTCCTGCCAGATAATTATTTTGCTCATTATACACCAAACTTTTAAAATGTTTAATGATATTCGATCGGTTTCTTTCATCTGCGACCGTAAAACACTTTAAACGTTTGCAGCCACAATCCCCCCATTTCTGTTCTCTTATTCGCTGTCCGTCATTATTCACAAAACTTGTCTGTATGCTTTATTAAAAAAACACACCACGTATACTGAAAAGACAATTTCAATCGTTAAGTAAACAAAACCGTGTTCCATTCAAAAAATGTAATCATAAACTAAACGTTTTCACAACAAAAACAATGTTATATACCTCATCCACGTGTTACCCGTATGGACATTCCTCCTTTCTCGACTTTTTGCATAGACCTGTACGGGATATTTTTATATACAATTTAAGCTGTGAGGCTTCGCGTTTCTTGCCTTTTTGAATACGGCATATAATTATACTACTAACGGACACGTTGCCGTCTTTAAGTCAAAAATAATAAATATGTGACATTTCGCCTTTCTTCCGTGCCAATGTTATGAAAGATAATATATTCGTTTTCACCGGTAAATATTACAATTTTCCAAATGTGACTTAAAATAATGGCCCGTTATGACTTCCATAACAATCATAGAGGTTGATTACCACGGTATAACATTGCAGTGTA